TGTCTGCACTGACCTCACAATGCAGGTCAGCTGTCTGTGCTTAAAGTTCTGCTGTTTTTTATGTGAAACGTGTTGATTGATTGATCGATCGATTGATTGGTTTATTATGTAATGAGAATAATTTTCTGTGCTGAGCATGTGAAAGTATGTGGCTAGGTTGACATTGACGTCAAATATTATTTATCCATATAACATCACAATGTGTCTTTCTTCAATTTTGTCCTTGTCTTCAGTTCCTGCCATGATCACATCTTACCCCAACACCACACGAGCAGAACAGGGTCACATGACTGAGATGAGCTGCACTGCTCACGGTGAAAAGCCCATCAAGGTTCGCTGGGAGAAGGAATCTCATATCATCAACCCAGACATGAGCCGCTATGTGGTTACTGTGAAGGAAGTGGGAGATGAGGTCATATCCACCCTGCAGGTGAGCCAGACACCATCTACACTGAGAATGCAATCACACGCCTCATTTCCAAGACACATATTCAGGGTTGCCCTGGCCCTGGACATTATTTCCTGTCAAAAATCCTCCACCGTTTGCACAAACTTATATTTGTGATCTTAAGTCGCTGGGGTATATTTGTAGCAATAGCCAAAAATACATTGTATTTTTCTTTTATGCCAAAAATCATTAGGATATTAAGTAAAGATCATGTTCCATAAAGATATTTTGTAAATTGCCTACTGTAAATATATCAAAACTTAATTTTTGATTAGTAATTTGTAGGGACGCACCGATACCAATTTTTCCAGTACTCGCCCGATACCGATACTTTTATTTTTGGTACTTGCCGATACCGAGTATCGATACCAATATTTTTATTGCATTTGTAAATTTTTTAAATATTGGGTACAGAAACCAAAAGAGTATGTATAATCTTAGTTGGTTAACTTCATTTATCAAATAGATAGTCAAACCGATATTTATTCAGACACCTTCAACTTTTCTCACATTATCACAGTTTATTCGCTATAGTTTAGAAAATGGTAATAAAATATGACAAGAACTCAGAGTTAAGCTGAGTCAGAACAAATTCAGCTTTATAATGCTAGATAACTTTGAAAGAAAGGTATGTAATGGATTACAATAAACCAAAAATAATTCA